TGAAACATAACCCCTTAGATTCCCCCCCTATAATAGCCCGGGCGGTTTTTTTTCCCTGCCCGGGAAAGTTTTTTCCCTGCCCCAAAAAGCGTATGTCCAAATCGCTCCCTTACACGTATAGCGTATGTACGATAGCGTATATACGATACGCGTATATACGCTATAAGCGTATTTTACAACTTAGCAAATAAACACCCGACCCAGGTTGTGGCTATCGCAGGCTTAGGAGGAGGCCAGCAAGTTCCTCATGAGCTCCCACATGCTTGTGGAGCACAAGGTCTGTTCTGGGCGCTTTCTGTTTGCGTTTCAAGGAGGTGCGTGTGCTGGCGGAGTTTCAATGCAATTGCATTGCATTATGCTAGAAAGAGGGCTGCAACTCTGCTGCTGTGGGGTTGGGGGAAACTTTGGTGGAGGCAACTCGGATGACAAGCTTGGGTCCTCCCACCTGACACGTGAGCTGACGCTGGTGAGTAGCATTGAAATCGAGTAGGAGCACATATGGTCTGCAGTCACTGTATTCAAAAGGATGTTCTTGCTCGTTCCTACCTCACAGCCACTGGAAGGAGCACTACATATGGATAAGGCAATGAGAAGTTTCCTACTTCATGTGAATGTGGTGGTAAAATGCTATGAGGAAATGCTAGGCTATCAGGCCCCACTAGTGGAGCCTCCAAATTGTTTTCTCGTGTACATGGACAAACATTTTCAAGGGTTACGTTGTCCATTTTGTATTCACGGTCTAAATGTTAACATTTGGCCATCCCAGCTCAGGGTCTCGAGCACATTTGTCTATCTGGTGATCCACTTTAGCGTCTTGTCATCGATCTGCAGGCTATACTTTTCACCCCTGCTTTGGTGTACACATGTTTGCGTGCTTATGCAACATTCATAACAGCCCCAATTATGGCATCTCTTGTTGTCCATTCTTGTGATGTCTGCTCTGTATAATAATGTGGTAAACTGTCGAACTTAAGTGTAGGAAACATGTTTGCGCTTATGCTTGGAGGCACGTGTTGGGATAGGTACTTGAAATTTTAGTGTAACAACTTCCACTTCCAACACCTCCTATTATCGTGTGTGTAAGCTAGTATAAGTACGAGTTTAACACTCTTGGCTTTTACACATTCTGTTTCCACTCCCCTCTCCCACCAACTACTGACTCTATCTCTCTCTTTCCTGGCCCCCTTTGGTTGTATTGTATGTACCATCAGGGTTCTAGCAAGTAACAGTTTCAGTGGTTCGATTCCATCCACCATCAGCAATATGATCAGCCTTGAATACCTGTCCGTATCCAAGGAATTTAACCGATAACTCTCATTTGCATGCCTAATCATTCTTGCAACTACAGATTAAGCTGGATTTGGGCTTCGCTAAGCAGGTATACTTTGGCCCACATGACTGAACCACTTAGCACTTTGGAACTCAAGGCCGGGAAGGGAGACGGTGCATGGCGGTGACCAACATTGGCAGAACAGGGCATTAGCCATCCATAATTCTTCGAACCCACGAGATGGGTCTTGCCAACAACGCACGAGTATGTGGGAAGGACGGATGCCCATCACCAGTAACGTACTCCGCGCGAGGCATAAGCCGACATGAAAACTTGGTCCGGGCTGAACAATTGGCCAGCCTGTCCGAATCTGGGAAGATTTGATATTTGTTGGCTTGCCAAAGGTCGAACTGCACTGGTTTGCCTTGAATCATAGCCCCACGCAAACCTCGTACAACATGCACAGGATCCTTGCGACCTTTTTTACGATCCGAGGTTAAAAGCTTGTGGTAATACTGGGTGTAGATATTTAATAATGATGGCCACATGAATCTCACAAGAACCTATGTGTCGCAGAGTGCTCGTTGGTCAACAGGCTGGTTTCGCAGCACGGGGCATATGCCTGCCTGCCCATCCGGACGGGCCCCACACCACACCTACTGAACCTTGTTGGGGGTGCAATGTACCCGGTGCATCATCTCTGTTGGTGGCTGATACCTCAGTCCTTGGACGAGATTCCCCTGGTTATGCTAGCATTGGTCCAGAGGGGGAATGTTGGCTGACTCTCTTGCCAGTCCAAGGGCACCTTCCACCCCAAATGCACCGGTCCAAGAACAGTCTTGTGATGACGGGCAAGTAGGGGAGTGAGTCGGAAGATGCCCACGTAAGAAATTAAGCTCATACAAGTATGAGGCACATTGGCCCGCACGGCAGAACCTCAGTGGTGAATCAGCGGAGAGCTTTGGAATTTCCCGATCCAGGTAGATCGGCGGGTGAAACTAGGGATGAGCAAGGTGGCGAACACCTGTTCGGTTCGCCTCGAACGTGTTCGAGGCGAACCGAACAGGCTTTGTTTTTTAGCTCAAATCGTTCGCCGAACAGTGTTCGATGTTCGCCCGAACACGTTCGTGTTCGGGCCGCTGCTGAAATTTGCCCGCGACGAACACGAACAGTGTTCGAGGTTCGCCCGAACACGCCTCCACAGGCGAACAGCGAACACCTGTTTTTTCCTAAAATGTTCGCCGAACCGAACACTGTTCGGTTCGGCAAAAGAGGGTGTTCGACAAGGGGCGAAGACGAACATGTTCGTGTTCGCCCTTTGCTCATCCCTAGGTGAAACCGCCGATCTGCTCAAATTGGCCAGCAAAAATAGGGTGCAAATAAACTAAGTTGCCAAATACGCTCAGGATACTGTGCGTTTAGCGGATATACGCTAGCGTTTACACGCTAAACGCTAAACGCAAGCTAATACGCTATACGCTTGCCGATTTGTTTTGGGGCAGCCCGACCGAAAAAAATGTGAGTATACGGAAAGATGCGGAATTGCACGACGAGCATTTTGCCACCGTCAAAATTCACGTCCGCGATTTGTGCAAGAGTGAACGGCGATTTCCGCGCTGATCGGCAATTTCCCTTCCCCGCAGATCCGCGCGGATCGAAGGTCCTTCCCGCAGAAGGGATGGGGGGAAAGACTCTCCCTAGATCAACGTCGTGTAGATCTGGACTGGAAGGAAGTGACGTGACGACTGTACAAATTTCAAATATCAAATTGGTTGGATGAGATAGATGCAATGCGGTGAAGATAGGTGATGGGAGGGGGGATTGGTTGGAGGCAACATTGGCGATGGGTGTGGGGCACGAATTCCAACATTGGCGATGGTTTCCCTGTCCAGGATCTCTCCTACACCTCCTCCTACACTCCAGCAATCATGCCTTGTGATTGCGAGCCCGAAGCAGAGCAGATTCGCGCAACGCTATTGCAGTCTATAGCCTACGAACCCTGCATCTTAACCCGATTTCGGGCTGAGTCGAGGGTGGTTATCTTAGTATGGAGAAAAACTTACCTCTGAAACATAACCCCTTAGATCCCCCCCCTATAATAGCCCGGGCGGTCTTTTTTCCCTGCCCGGGAAAGTTTTTTCCCTGCCCCAAAAAGCGTATGTCCAAATCGCTCCCTTACACGTATAGCGTAGATACGATAGCGTATATACGATACGCGTATATACGCTATAAGCGTATTTTGCAACTTAGCAAATAAACACCCGACCCAGGTTCGGGTTGACCTGACCGAGGCCCTGGTCGAAAATGACCCATCTGTAAAAGGCCGGGTCAGGAAAATTGGGTCGGGTCGGGATGGGTCTATTGCCAAACTCTCCACATAAGCATCACAACAAGGTCCATGCACAAGGGAGTTGTTGAATCCTCCATACATGGAAGGAGTGAAAGGAAAAACCTCTCAGAGTAGACTTGTCATGAAGAGACAAGTCCCAAGAAGACTAGATATAACTTCCATGAGTTCCAGCATACTCTAAGACGCCATTACTTCCTGATCGAGTCTTAGCTCCACCAAGTACTAATAAGCCGCCTGTCTCTGAAATGGTAAACGCTAAGCTAATCGTGAGCTCACCATTTTTTCACATGAACCATCTTCCCGTCAAATCCGCTAGATGGCAATTCTTAAGGCCAATCTGTTCCAAACGCTCACTCATTGCCAGATGAGGAAGATATACATCAGCATAATTGTGAGCATAAATTTTAATCCAACCAGCCTCGGTTTCAGTTGTGACTGCATACATCCCTTTTGAGCTAGGAAAACTTGCCATTCCCCTCTGAATCTGCAATGGGAGATTGGGATCTTGTATTCCCCCTTGGAGTAACTGCTGTAACCATGATTTCGCGTGCTTATTCCTGACGCAATCATCTCCGTCTTCTCTATAGCTCTGTTGGTAGTCACAACCTCAACTATGAAGAAATGCTAGGCTATCAGGCCCCACTAGTGGAGCCTCCAAATTGTTTTCTCGTGTACATGGACAAACATTTTCAAGGGTTGCGTTGTCCATTTTGTATTCACGGTCTAAATGTTAACATTTGGCCATCCCAGCTCAGGGTCTCGAGCACATTTGTCTATCTGGTGATCCACTTTGGCCTCTTGTCATCGATCTGCAGGCTATACTTTTCACCCCTGCTTTGGTGTACACATGTTTGCATGCTTATGCAACATTCAGAACAACCCCAATTATGGCATCTCTTGTTGTCCATTCTTGTGATGTCCGCTCTGTATAAAAATGTGGTAGAAAGTCGAACTAAGTGTAGGAAATTGGGATGAGCATATGGCGAACACGAACATGTTCGTGTTCACCTGGGGTCGAACATAGCCGTTGGGCGAGCCGAACAGTGTTCGGTTCGCCGAACACTTTCCAGCAGAACGGGTGTTCGAAGTTCGCCAATACAGGCGAACATTTCTTTAGTTTTGGCGAACACGAACACGTTCGTCCAGAATATGTCCGTGTTCGCCCTAGAGGGGGGGGCACTACAAGACTCTAGATTTAAACACTGCCAATGCCAATGCATCATTGTTTATGGGATTATAGAGTGTTCTCAGTGTCTGCAATTACTTATATAAGCCTGGCCAACTAGTAGCAAAGAACAAATCCACATTCGAAGTCAACCCAACACAAACTCAACATCCCAACGTCACCAACGCGCCGCTCGAGCGCCCACTAACCCACAACTACATCCCTGACCCACCCTCGGTACCAACAACACCCTCTCCTCCACCCGCTCCTGCGTCCACCCCTCTCCCCTCACCCGCCTCCTCCGCCACTTCCACCTCAGGCGCCTTCTCCACCTCCACCTCATCCCCCAACTCCTCCTCCTCCTCCTCCTCCTCCTCCTCCTCCTCCTCCTCCTCCTGGTGCTCCTCCTCCTCCTCCTCCTCCTCCTCCTCCTCCTCCTCCTCCTCCTCCTCCTCCTCCTCCTCCTCCTCCTCCTCCTCCGCACCCTCGCCCTCAATAGCAATCTCTAGTGCTGCGGCCCCCTTCGGGCCTATGTTGGATTATACGCTCTAGACCCTTTGCGTTTAGCGTATCTACGCTAGCGTGTACACGCAATACGCTAAACGCTAGCAAATACGCAATACGCAGCCATATTTTTTTCCGGGCAGCCCGGAAAAGTAAAATCGCGAAAAGATGCGGATTTTCTTGGTGAACATTTCGCCGAAGTCGAAATGCAAATCCGCGGTCTCTGCAAGCTGGGATCTGACTTCGAAGTTTTCAGGCACGTCTGGCTATTCAAATGTCGAATTTCAGGTCCCATCTAGGCATTTGAACCCATCCCCTCTACCGCATTGAAAACCATCTTATCTACGAACTCCAACCTATCAAAATCGAACCCCCAACAAATCTCACGCTACTTACCAGACAGCCCAACTCCTAACCCGTCATTCCTACCTTGCATTCCCGCTTGCAGTAGTGTCCCCGCGCGCGCACTCCAACTTGAACAGCCTCTCCAACACTACTCCCTATAGCTATGATGTCTACTCCCCGCCCCACCCCACCCGCCGATCGGACTCAGGAAAATGCTAGGGCACGTCTTAGTGAGATGTTTTTTCCACCGATAGGGGGTAATTTTTTTCCACCCTGCCCGAAATGTTTTTTCCCCGCCCGCAAAAGCGTATGCCTGATCCGACCCTCAAGCGTATGGCGTATACACGCTAGCGTATATACGATACGCATATATACGCTAAACACGTATAATCCATCATAGCTTCGGGCGGCGGCCCTCGCTGATCCTCTGTCCAGGGTGCGATCCATACCAGGAGCGGAGAATCATGCAGGCTCGCGACCTCTTGGTGTTCAAGCGGTGACGCTTCCACGAAATGAGGTTGCGGCCCAATGAGAACACCCGCTCGCTCGCAGCAGACGTGGCAGGGATGGCGAGATAGTCCCTCGCCATCCGCTTCAGCGTCTCCATGTTCGTGGAAGTGCGCCAGTAGTCTAGCGCAGAGACGTCGTACCGCACCCTCTCCGACAAGTACCTGCTGACCTCGTCGTGCTCCACAAGACCACCCCCCCCTGCCGCCTGGCTCGCAGACAGACGCGCCACAAGGCGTCGGCGACTAGGGAGATAGAGGTCGTCCTCGTCCTCCCCCCCCTGCTCTCCCTCCTCCTCCTCGACCACTGTGGGCAGTGTGGTGGGCCTAGGAGCCAGCTCCCTCGCCGCTTCCTGGTACTCGGCCACCCGATCGCGTACCAACGATATCACCACGCTCGATGGCGGGCGCGGCCTCTCCCTCCGCGCCATCTGTGGATGCTGCGTCTCCCAGTGGGGGTCGTCAAACCACGCCGCCTTCATGGAAGGATCCAGGAAGGTGGCGATCCAGCCCTCGTTGCTGCTGATGTACTCATACTTCTTTAGGATTCGCGGAGCCTTCTCGACCAGCGGATTCAGTAGCGCAGAGAGCCCCTTTGTCAGTCGGGCCTCCATGGCGTCGATGAGGCCGTTGTAGTACGGCACCACCATCGACAGCGTCGGGTACGCCGTCCCCTCGGCTGCCTTGGAGACCTTGTTGAAGGGGCTGAGAAATGTTCTTAGCTCCTTCAACATGTCCCACTTCTCATCAGACAGGCGCATTTTCTCGACCTTATCCTTGTCCGTTTTCGACATGCCCTGCTTCGGGTAGTGCGTGGTGGGCCGGGGCATAAGAGGAGCATGGTTGTTATGAACATGTCTCGCACATCACGAAACCAATTGCACAACACACGAATCACATGCCACACATGTCGCACACATGCGAAACACATGTCGTACACATGCCTAACACATGCCACACACATGCCTAACACATGCAGCACACATGCCATACACATGCCTAACACATTCCACACACATGCCACACGCATGCCTAACACATGCCGCACACATGCCTAACACATGCCGCACACATGCCATACACATGCCACACGCATGCCTAACACATGCCACACGCATGCCTAACACATGCCGCACACATGCCTAACACATGCCGCACACATGCCATACACATGCCACACGCATGCCTAACACATGCCACATGCATGCCTAACACATGCCGCACACATGCCTAACACATGCCGCACACATGCCATACACATGCCTAACACATGCCACACACATGCCACACGCATGCCTAACACATGCCACACGCATGCCTAACACATGCCGCACACATGCCTAACACATGCCGCACACATGCCATAAACATGCCACACACATGCCACACACATGCGTAACGCATGCCTAACACATGCCACACGCATGCCTAACACATGCCTAACACATGCCCCACACATGCCACACACATGCCACACGCATGCCTAACACATGCCGCACACGTGCCCAACACATGCCACACACATGCCATTTGTCCCGATCCGATCTCACCACATACCTAAGTCGAGGCCAGAAACACTGTGATCGGATGGTGCAGCTCAAGGTAGCGGTCGATCATGGCGTGCGTCGAGCCCCAGCGAGTGGGGCTGTCCTGCACCAGCTTCAAGGCTGGTTTTTTTACACGGGCTTGCATGTTCAAGCTGCGCTGCAGTCCAAGGAAGGCTGCCGAACGCTGTGGCGAGAACCCAACCCACGACGCCATGTCCCTGAGCACCTTCAGCAGGAGGCCAACGGCATTGACCTTCAATCCTGCCTGCACTGCCAGGTTGACCACATGTGATATGCACCTGCCAATCACATCGAGATTGGCATGGGTTTTGGGATGTTGTGACACAAAGTCTTTGGGTGCCGGTGGGAAATCCAAACACCCCAGATACGGCCACACGCACCCACAATGCCGACCCTCACAACCCCCCCACACAAATCACCCCCACACACAACACTCATACCTGAAATGCAGGCGGGTGTTAAAGAAGTGTCGACCACCACCCTCCTCCGACAGCCTCCGAAACGCGGCAATGTTGACGAGGCGTTGTCTGAGGTGAGGCCCATACAACGCCTCTCCAACCCCCACCTCACCACCGTGTCCTCCACGACCTGCGCGATCTGCACTGCTCCATGACGACCAGTCAGTTCGCGAAACTCGAGCACTGCCTCACGCAGCTGGAAAGACTCGTCTATCCAGTGACCCGTCACTACTAGCCACGCCTTCCCATTGGGTGCAGTCCAGATGTCAATGGTTATTGACACCTTGCACCCCAGATCCCCCTCCTTCCCCTGCAGCTCCGCTTTGGCCGCCGACAGAGCGGCCGCCGCATACGCCACAATGTCGCGTGCCACCGTCCATCGCGACGGTATGAAGTTCTTGTCCCCGCAGTGTTGGTTGCACAGGGTTAGAAGCTCGCGAAACTGGAGGGATGGTTGCGACGGTACACAAAACGCATGCGCTGGGTGTCAAAGCACAGGTCAAGAATGGAATTCCCAAGGAGAGGCATAAGAGCACGTCACCCAACTCCCTCCCCTAAACATGCATACAAACAACCCTTGCAAACCGCTCTGGCCGCCAAAACCACGCTGATCAAATACCACCCACCCACCCACAACCAGCATTGCACACTTACCGCCTCAGCCTCCACAATCTTGAAAGGTAGGTCGCAGGTCACCACCAGTTTGGCGATCGTCTGACGAAGCTCCACCTCTGACAGCTTCTTCGACATGTAGGTCTTGATCCCAGCGACGCCGGACCCCTCAGCCCCTCGCCCCTCCGCCCTCCCACCCTTCTTTGGGATGTTCGGCCACTTTTCTGCATGCGGCCAATAGTATACGTAGCCGTCCGGCACTCCCACGTAGCCCCCCCTCGGGAACGTCTCGCCCGGCAGCTGCACATGTGGGTTGTGGTAACGATGATACCACACATCCATGTGAGCAGTGTGGAAGCTCTCGAAGTGGCGCTCGCCTGGGTTGGTTGTAGATCCCCGCCAAGAAATGCGATCGGTACAAATCTTGCATTGCCGCTTGTCATCTGTCCCCTTGGGCCCAAACATATGTACTCGCCACCCCCGCTTCCTCTGCCCCCCCTTGCCACTCCCCTGGCTACTCTCGGGCTGTCCATCATCGTCGAGGAACTCTGGAGCACCACACCCTCGCCCAGATCCACCCCTCTGAAGGTGCAAGGATACGCCCGTGTCCTCGCCTTCTCAGCTTTCTTCTTCCTGGTTCCAATCAACGGCCTCTTTTGCCCAACCTTAACACCTCCGCGCGGCCGTCCTCTGCCTACGTGCTGAGATGCCTCCTCTGCCGTAGCCGCGGCAAACCCTCCTCCCTCACCAACCCCCTCCTCTACCCCCTCTGGCTCCAACCCTTCCATCTCCTCATCCTCATCTCCTCCCCCGTCCGCACCACCACCGCCATGAGTCTCCGGTGTCCACCCTGGCTCACTATCGTCACCGCTACCCTCCGAGTCCTCCTCCCCCCCCCTCCCCCTCCTCCCCCTTCTCCTCGTCGTCCTCCTCCTCCGCCGCCGCACTGTCGGTCTGAGTGGTGTTGCGCGTCTGATCAGAAGGACAGGGCGGTTGACCACTGTAACGGTACGACACCCGGGATGATGGCACGGGCATGGCCAGAAGCCCACCGATGAAACACGCACCAACTCCTCCCGGGCCGTCACCAGGTCGTGTTGCATTGGTCGTGGTGCAGACGAGGGTGCGCCGGCCTGACTACCACCGCGTCCGGCCCGCCCTGTACTAACTTGTTTAGGGGAGGACATTTCCGCCACCGCCGCAGAAACCTAAACCCTACCTAGAACTGTAATGCGGCCTGCTGCAATGTTTATGAAGGAGATTGTTACTATGATCTTAAAGCTAACGGTGGAGAGGAGACTAGTTCAACGGTAGTGCAAACCCTAATGTGATGCTAGATACGATTCTGGAACTTTGGAGTATATGCTACGTCCTTAGTATTGAACTATTACGTCACTATAATGCCAAAATGCCATACTTCAACGATTTGAGGGCCTATGCTAGTCCTAGAAGGTGTGGGTGTGGTAAGTGGTTGTGGGGTGGGCTGGCTGTTAGGAGCGCCATGGTCGACATGCTAAATAAAAACAGCCGCAATTGGTATGGTCGAGACCCTAAAATTGGTCGCGGCAATTTCGTCGACGAACACCTAAAGTGTTCGTCGACTGGGTTTAGAACTCGAACATGTTCGTGTTCGACGCACCTCGGCCCATCGCGGCGCGCGAACAGCGAACATGTTCGCGATCGTCGAACATGTTCGTAACGAACACTTTTGTCAAAAAAAAAATCCCGTTCGGTTCGTCTCGAACACGTTCGAGACGAACCGAACGGGTGTTCGCCAATATGCTCATCCCTAGTAGGAAACATGTTTGCGCTGATGCTTGGAGGCATGTGTTGGGATAGGTACTTGAAATTTTAGTGTAACAACTTCCACTTCCAACACCTCCTATTATCGTGTGTGTAAGCTAGTATAAGTACGAGTTTAACACTCTTGGCTTTTACACATTCTGTTTCCACTCCCCTCTCCCACCAACTACTGACTCTATCTCTCTCTTTCCTGGCCCCCTTTGGTTGTATGTACCATCAGGGATCTAGGAAGTAACCGTTTCAGTGGTTCGATTCCATCCACCATCGGCAACATGATCAGCCTTGAATACCTGTCCGTATCCAAGGAATTTAATCGTTAACTCTCATTTGCATGCCTAATTATTCCTGCAACCACAGATTAAGCTGGATTTGGGCTTTGCTAAGCAGGTATACTTTGGCCCACATGACTGAACCACTTTGCACTTTGGAACTCAAGGTCCGGAAGGGAGACGGTGCATGGCGGTGACCAACATTGGCAGAACAGTTGCGAGGGAGATCTATCCCGCCCGCGGTGACGCATCACCAGTCCAGCCTGCCACTCACAGTGGTTTCCTCCTGTGTACCAGGGTCTGCCCCCGATCTCTGCACATTAGCCTCACAATAAAGTCCTGCAATGTTCAAACGATATGATACACGGGCTAGGGAGATTCTGTTTTTTTCATGCGTGAGCAGGATATTGAGAGTGATGTTCCTTGAAATCAAGCCAGCAGTGAAGGATGACGACCCACGGCCACGAGATATAGCTACCATCAGTTCGTCATACCAAATCCAACCATTCTCAAGCTGCCCTCATATTTGGTCAAACCTAAGGGAGCCTTAAAAAAAAGAACAGGAATCCTCTTGTCAAACCTTAGCTAGCCTTTTTAATTTTTTAAAAAGAGAAAAAAACAACTTCCTAAGCTCACAGTCATACTGAAATTAGCAAGCTGGTTTGTGATGGAGAGGATTGCCGCGCAAGGAGATAGGCTGGAGGTCGCCCACTAATTTGCACAAGGATGGCAGTACGCTGGTTCGATCCGTGTGGATCTGGCAAAGAGCATAGGACTGGCCATAGTACATGACCTTTCTGCAGTGCAAAGAGATGACCGTGCTTGCAAACTGACTGGCCCGATCGTGCCGGACATGCAAGAAGTTCTGCAAGATCGGGCACAATCAGCCCGTTGGCGAGCCCGTTTGCAACAGAGGCTGGCCCGACCGTGCGTGCCCTTGTTCAGCCATATGAACATGGCTAATGCACTCATGATGCCCTTGCCTGGGAGTGTGCTTATGTTCCATTCACCCCCGGTCATGGCAGAAATCTAGTGTGTCACATCAAGGTTGTTTCAGTCCACAATAAGCTGACTCGCAGACCCGCCAAGTGGGCGGCTGATTCGGCCTGTGTGATATACGTGAGCCGGGACAAGCAGGCATGGCTCGTCGCAGTCCGTCAGATCAGATGTGAGAGAGATCTCTCCCGCTCGCCCATCGTGGTGAGAGAGCTTTCCTCTGTGATGGGGATCGACAAAGCACTCACTAGTGGTGCAAATCACCGAAGACACAGACAACGGCGCTGTCCTCTCAGCAGGGTATGACTTACAATCTGGGTGCCAGTGGCCACTGCCACCCACGTGGCCAAGCCCTGTGAGGAACCTTGCAAGACACGTGCCGTTCACTTCTTAACCATCAGGATCGTGGATATGGAAGCGTTGATGGTTTGTAAAACTGTCAGTGTGCACACTTGGGTCACAAACAATAAGATCACGATCTTCTTGGGTCCTTTTTGAGCCAAATGTATATTCCGGATAAAGACCACATGTGCTCTTGTTCAGATACAATGTTATTCACCAGCGTCAAGGGTTTATCCACCTCACCTCACATGTCAGGTAAAAAGACCCAACCTTGTCATCCGAGTCACCTTATGTGTGTGTTCCACCACGGATACCTCCAGCCTCCCAGCAAATTCACGGCCAGCCCCTCAGTATGATGCAACCGTAGCAGAAACCTTGCCAGCACACACACCTCCTTGGGACACCAGCAGCAAGCCCCCTCACCGATCCCATGTTTGGGTGCTCCACAAGCATGAGGGAGCTCACAAAGAAGCTTCCTGGCCTCCTGCTGAGCGTTCGATGGCCTCAAGTGAGCTCCATCCTCTCAGCTGCAGCACTGCCTGCTGGTCCACAAATAATGGAGACTGGTATGGCATCATTCTCAGCAGCTGGGTCCTAGGAGGAAATGTGGACGGGTAATGTTCAACCCCGGAGGGAAGAGTGCGTCTGGGACCAAGGGAGGCAGCATCAGTGGGCAGACGCATGTGCAAATCTGTAGTGGGAGCATTAGAGACCAACTATCGTGGTTTGAAATTCGAGTCACACGAAGCTATGCATGAGGAGGAGGGAGTATCTGCACCAGAGCGAATGCGAATCCACTGGGGATGTAAGGTGCCGCTGAACTGGGGGAAAGAGGATGAAGTGTTGAAATGTAGAAACCCTGTTTGTGCTAACATCTGGAGGTACCTACTAGGTTAGGTGCCTCGTCCTATGATCACATTCACATCTCGTCGTGGCATCTTCCACTGTTGCAGCCACCCATAACTGCCAAATTGAGTGTGTGTAGTGTGTCGTGATTATGTGCTTTTTCAACACTTAAGACTACCCCAATTGGTTTCATTTGCTTTCACTAATTGTAGTGGTTGTTTCTTGCAGCATTGTGTAATAGTTCGATGTTAAAGTCCAGTAGCTTCTTTCTGGTGTGCTCACAATCAAGCACCTTCTATAATAGGTAGCTTATATCACAAATCACATATCAGCATGTCATGTTCACTCATCCCTCTCATACATTCTAGTCCAGTTCTATTTTTTTTATGAGTTTCATGGCATCCTTTTCACGCGCTCTGTAGCAATGGTTTGATCGTATCCACTTTATATGCAGCCACACTCATGTGTCCATAAATTGAGGTATTGTTTTTTTGCTGCATTCAATCTTCCTTCGCGCCCATACACCCTTTATATGTTGTATCATTAGGTTTCTTCACGACAATTCTCTGAGTGGGTCTATTCCATCCACCATCAGTGACATGAGCAACCTCGAGGAGTTGTGAGTATCACGAAGGGAATAGGAAAGAGAGCCAACATGACGTCGTACGTGTCCAGAAATTAGAGGGAATGCGATGGCGACACCAAGTCAACTTGATTTGAGAACGAGCATACATGCTAGGCATGACCACGGGCTGGCGCTGGGTTGAGCTAGTCCGCTAACCAAGGGCCTGGGGGAGGGGGGGGGCTATGGTAGGTCGGTTCTACAGCAAGTTTGCCAGAGATCTGCAGCAAGGCGACTAGTTGGTGGACTCAGACCATGATACAACTAGTCATTGTACATGATGTTTCTGCAGCAAGCTGACCCAACAGGCCGGGCTAGTAATTGCCAGGCTGCGATCAACAAGCGGTACATGCAAAAAGGGCAGTCCGGAACGTGTTCCAAACAGGTTGGCCCAACCACGCTGTCCCACGCCATTCAATTTGAACTACATCATGACTAGAGGGTCCAAGCTCGGCCATATGAGCATTTGGAGCTGTTGGAAATGACTCACAAATGCAAGGCTCCTACAAATTTGAGCATAGGCCTATGACCAGCTTAGTCGTTCCATTGCACAACGAGCTGACTGGCCGATGAGATGAGTGGGCAGCTAATTAGGCCTGTGGCTCATCTATGATACGCAAACCAATTGAGCTAGAACGAGCTTGTATGCCTCGCCACAATCTGTCAAATCCGCATGGAGATGCCAGTTTGCTGCCAGATGTATGTGGATCTTGCATTTTACCACCACATTCACATAAAGTAGGAAACTTTTCATTGCCTTATCCATGTGTAGTGCTCCTTCCAGTGGCTGTGAGGTACGAATGAGCAAGTATATCCTTTTGAATACAGTGACTGCAGACCATATGTGCTCCTACTCGATTTCAATGCTACTAACTAGTGCCAGCTCGCGTGTCAGGTGGGAGGACCCAAGCTTGTCATCCGGGTTGTCTCCACCAAAGTTTCCCCCAACCCCGCAGCAGCAGAGTTGCAGCCATCTCCCCAACATAATGCAATGCAACTGCAGCGAAACTCCGCCAGCACACGCACCTCCTTGAAACGCAAGTAGAAAGCGCCCTGAACAGACCTTGTGCTCCACAAGCATGCGGGAGCTCATGAGGAACTTGCTGGCCTCCTCCTGAGCCTGGGATAGCCACAAGCTCCATCCTCTCCGCTACAGCTTCAGCCTGCCCGTCCACAAGGAGGCTGGCGTGGCACCAGTGGCGGTGGCTGTGTCCTACGAGGGAAT